AAAACAAGACTCATCTTTTGACAACACGTTCGCTACAAAATTGTGATTTCTTTGGTGTTTACCAAAAAACTAATTACAAAAATTTGCTCTTCGTGGAAAATCTTCAGGCGAAAGAGTTTGAACCCTCTGGACATGATATGGGTACAATAACTATTCTTTAAGGGTCCGATGTACTATCCAGTGTGAGACAGCGTCTTGACGAGCTATACTTCTCATACTCCGTGTCGAATACTCGTCAATTCAATTCAAAATTTGTTCTTCGGTTTAAGCAGTGGCGGATTTAGAGGTGGGGCGCCCCCCTCCCTCTAGACGTCTGACACTTGCTTTTGTAATCTAACACCATTATGTTACTTTCTGACACAACATGGCGATAGAAGCATACTAACTATAAGTTATAGCTATAGGAATTGAGCATTGCTATTTTTTTGGGATCCTTTAGTATTCCAAACGCTACCCCTGTTTGACATCACTTACGTTTACAACACAATTCTCACGACTTATTCCTATACAGGGTGTAAAGTTAGTAAAGGATCAACGAAGTCAGGTGATAGAGGTCCTCAAATCCTATCGAATGAAACCCTATATGGTGGTCCGAAATTTTATAGATATTTGCAATTTTGTGAGATTAGAAATCAACGCAAAAAATCTTAATTTCATTTTTCTATGCATTCTATACACAAACGACACCTTCTAATTAAATTGTCCTTCAGTCTTTGAAATAAAGTTGCTTTTTCCATAATTTTATTTTTGCTTCATCAATTTTGTGGCGCAGTTGGTTGACATTTGTATATACAGATGTATAGATTATCCCCTTCTACAACCCCAATATAAAAAAATCTTGAGGATTTAAATGGAGTGACCTTGGAGGCCATCGAATGTGTCCACCTCTACCTATCCAACGCCCAGGAAAGGCACTGTCTAAGTAATGCCGTACATCCCGTACAAAGTGGCATGCGGCACCATCGCATTGAAAATAATAATAATAATAACGTTCTTTATTTTACCATCATATACGTACGTTTAGACACACACACACATGAGAAACAAAATCATGGTATTGGGAAAACCTCAAGGGGGAGTTCACCTAGAGGTGTTCTTTCACTCAACCCTTGCCAGCAGTAGAATACATGTAAGAAAAATATCCTAACCTAACACTAACCAAAAAAACACACATAGGGTCACCTGAATTAAACTTGGAAGTTGTAATAATTTAATTGGTCATAAAGTAATCCGAAACTAGTTCCTTAAATGTATGTGGATTGCATGATTTAAGATAATTATGAAGGGAATTATAATATTTAGCAATAATAAATTTGAAGCTTCTTTCAAAAAGAACTGTCCTGTGAGATGGTATATTGATTAGGTGCTTAAGTCTCGTGTCAAAATTATGGACATCTGCGCGAAATGACACCTTTTGGTAGAGATAGGGGGGGTTCTTATAATACAGTATCTTGTGAAATAAGTAGAGAGCATATAAGCGCAATCTTTTCTCCATGTTTAGCCAATTCAATTCCTTCAATTTGTGGGAAACGTGCTCATACTTTTTAATCCCGTATATGAATCGAATGCACGAGTTCTGTACACGTTGAATACGATTAACACTCTTTTGATCTAGACATGGACCAAATACAGGTGCACAGTATATAAATTGTGAAAGTACTAGCTTATCGCACAATATTTTCTTAGTGTCTGTTGATAAATATGATCTATGGGGATATAGTAATTTTAGCGATGTGTATGCTCTCTGTATGCATTTCGTTATGTGATTCCTGAACCTTAGATCCTGATCAATGAGTAAGCCCAGATTTTTTGCCTTACCTGTAATTTCAATGACAGTATTACTTACATCTAATTTCAAGTTTGATTCCAAAAACCGGCAGGCAGATTTTTTAGGAAATACCATAGCCACAGACTTGTTAGGAGTTAGTAGAAGTGAATGCCTTGTAATAATAATAATGATAATAATGCATGATATGCACCAAAAATCCGATGTCGATAGGCTCTGTGTAAAAAGAAGGAATGGAGGTCGTGAACTAATTGAGATTGAATCTGCGTACATCATTGCCATCGTCAATCTCTGCAAATACATTTCAAACAACACCGACCGTATGATAGAATTGGTGAAACAACATGAAGCAAATAAGGAAAAATACTCTTTGCTAAAAATATCTGAAGGTGAACAACTTGCTCTCAGAAACAACATTGAAGAGCACAGAATCGAATCAATTAAGCGCAAACCACATCATGGTCAATTCTTCCATAGCCTTACATCGATAGACAGAACACGCTATCTTGGCTGCACAGTTCAAATCTGGAGGGAGATACCGAAAGTTTGCTCATAGCTGCCCAGGATCAAGCCCTAAACACAAGATACCACCAGCGCAAAATTCTGGACAAACCAGTCGATAGCAGATGTAGAAGGTGCAACACAAAAGAGGAAACAATTCAGCACGTCCTTACAGGGTGCACAGTTCTAGCAGCAACTGAATATCTACATCGGCATAATACATGTATTTATTCGAAAGTTTGTAAAGAACTCCAAATTGACGTGCCTCGAACGTGGTATAGTCATAACCCGCCTCTGGTAATCAACACAAGTGAATGCACAGTACTGTGGGACCATGCAATTATAACCCCGATAGCACGAAATATTCATTAAATATCTATTTAATATTTAATAATATTTTTATCTTACTTAAATATTTGTTTTAATAAATATTTGTAATATAATATTTTTATTAAATATTTATTCAATATCTTTTAAATATTTTAAATACAATATTTCTTTTATAATATTCATTAAATATTTACTTTTAAATCAATGGAAAATATTAAATATTTTCGGCTACGACGCATGTGCGTGTGACCTCGAGCGACCAATGGGATAATAGCAAGTCGGCCTGAGACGACCCGTTTGCCGGCAGCCATTTTACCTGTGACTTTCACTATGATAGCCTTCTACCTGTCTATCTCCAAGTGGTTCATTATTTGAGTGTTTTTTTTTGTGGAAAAGGGAAAAGGGTAAGTTTTTCGATAATTACATAGCTTAATTTATCCGACTAGTAAACATTATTGTGCTAGCTGAGTAGACCATAAATAACTAGCCTTAAAGTGTACTACTAAAAAAAGTCACATTTCAACAAAATCCATAAGTGTTAGTCAAAGGATCAAGTTGTGTCCATGGACATTTTTCACCAAGATTTCTAAAATCACATACCAAATTTTCTTAAAAATTAACCAAATCTCGAACTATCATAGGCATGACATGTGGGGTCCTTTTAGATGCATTATAGACAAGCTTTTCAGTGACCCAGTTGAGCTACTCGGAGTAACTCACCATGCTCAGCACCAATAAATACATTGGAAAACAGCTTATGTATTCAATAATACTTCATAATTAGTAAGTTTGTTTTTTTTTTCAGAGGAGTGGACTTGCAAGATGCAGAATGTTTTTTTGATAATATTTTTCTAGCAAATGAAACTATTATACCTAGAATGAATTTTCTTTATAAACCCAATTTTATATAAGCATTCCTACAGGTTTTGCTAGAATAACCAATGAAGAGTTTTCTAGCGACACTGAAAATATGTATCAGATTAATGCTTGAAAATCCATACATATTAAAGAAAAATATTAGATATTTCATCAAAATATAAAACTGATATTTAAAAATCTTTCCTCATATATTTTCTAAATATTTGGAAAAAGTATCACAAAAATATATGAATTATATATACTACAAATATCTATAATGAATATTTTATAAATATATAAGAAATATATTTATTAAGTATTAAAAAATCTGTCGCTACAAATATTTATCAAACATTTTTTAAAAATATTTAATGAATATTAAATGCTATCGGGGAACTGATCGCACCATATCAGCTAATCCTCCCGACATCGTCATTCATAATAGGATGCATACTTGTGGACGTAACTATCCCAGACGACCAGAACATTACTATAAAGGAGGCAGAAAAGATCTCAAAATATAAAGATTCACAGATAGAAGTACAGCGCATGTGGAAAGTAAAAGCTAAAGTTATACCAATTATAATTGGCTCATTGGGAGTAATTAAAAAGGGAATGCATACGTACTTAAATCAAATACCAGGAAAGCCAGATATATATGAATTGCTAGGATTAGCCCACATTCTGAGAAGAGTATTAACATAAGAGCCAGCTATACCTCAGAACCCTTGTTGGGTTCCGGTGGCTAGTACTGTCCGATCAGACGAGGTCGAGAGTATGTAATTGAAATAATAATTTTTTATTCGTCACTTGATTACAAAATAATTGGCTTTAAAGGAATAGTGACGAAAAGGTGTAGTGTCAGCTTATGCTGTTTTTCAACCCGACCTACTTCACGATGTGTTCCGCGATTGTTAAAATTATTCATTACGCTGCCTGTGTCCAGAAGTCTTTCTGATACTTCTACGAATGTTTTAGCTAGTAGCCTTCGATCAGGAAAACGTTCTTCGTAAATGCGCCTAGCCTCTTCAGAATTGCCATGGGCCTCTCCGTAAATAATAAGCACATCGTGATACTCGCGTACCGAAAGCATCTGTTTCGTATCTGATGCAGTAATACATACTGAATAATAAAATGTGAGAGAAACTATCAAATAATGTTTTCCCTATGTAGGTATTTTTTATTATTTATATTATTTATTATTATTTATATTATTTATTATTATATATATTATTATTTATATTATTGGGCAATACGCGATGATACATGCAGTGCAGGCGGAGTATGACGTTGCCAGTTGTATGAGAGATGTCAGTTTTTCTTCGGAAAATTGTATTTAATAAGCAAGAAAATTATTTTCCCGGCACATGAGCCTGCAACTTGTTCAAATAATATGGAGATTTTATGTAGAGAATAGCTCATTGGATCATAACGTCAATACATTGTTTCAGAACTCATGATTATAGAAAGTTTTGGTTTATTTTTCACCATCCGGCATATTTTAGCCTTTATATTTTATTTTACTGTCGCTATATGATGGAGCTCAGAGAAAAACACAGGTACGCTGAAATTTTATTAGTATGTGTACTTTTCTTGCTCCTAATAATACTTTCTACAGTCCATGAAATAGCGGTAACATAAGTACATATATTAAGTATGTGTATTGTTATCACATAATTGCCTACCAACTGTCGAATCCAACCTGGAAAGAGAGACATAACGTTAGAATGTCTGGATATGAATAAGAAAGAGGTGTAGAATAGAGGAATAATACTTTAGTTCTATAAGTTAGACATAAGAAACCATATCACGATTTCATATTTTACGATTCCTATACCTAGCATACCTATGCCTACTGGCACAGAAAATAGAGTTATAAACAAGATATGAGACAGTCAAGATCATTCAATGACCAGTTGTAAGAGTTAATTTTTAAATATTGATTTTGCATCTATTTTCAGAACAATATTATTTGAATTAAATGTGATTCATTTTCTAATATTGAGTTAGGTATCTTATCTACTTAAAATCTGATCTCACCTATTAAGTAAGCCGACTATGTATCAATTAATTGATTATTCCTTGAATTCACTTTCTAGACGTTCCACTAATACTACATACAAGTTTTGATTTAGTTCTTAGAAATCAGACTACAGTGTGTACATTAAAGTAATCATAAATATCGACAAACCATGAAAAAATACAGAGATAGATATTCGTACACTCAGGTAGTACTTGTATTAGGTCAGCAATAGATAGAAAGCCCTGAAAAAAACTAATCATTCGGAACTTGATAAATCTTAATATAGGTGGAAAATTATATCTAAACATAAATATGAAATCTTAATATAGGTGGAAAACTATATCTAAACATAATATGAATTAATATAAGCTCAAAATTGTCTGTGAGATATTGACTATCAAGCTTGTGCTACCTGATTGGACTTATCGTTGGTGATGGTGTTACAGTTTACATCTTACCTAATAAAGGTCCAAATGTAACGTATATTATCCCACTCACAGCTAGTTGCAAGCCAGATGCAGCTGGCAATCTCTCCAAAGGTACGTGAGAAGGGATAACAAGCGCCAGGAAAATTGTCCGTAAAGCTTTTCCAGCTCCAATTATCACAGCTACTATCATGGCAAATGCATAGGTTTGTGTGTGAACTAAAACTATGAAGATATATTGAGTAATGCAAGTTGTTGTCTAGAATAAAGTTCAGGCTGAATTGAATATGTTTGCTTTCCGTTTTTGTAACTGCATTCAACGTTGTTTTTTGCTTTCGTTTTAGGACTTTCACTTCTTTTACCATCCGTACTTTATGATGACCCCTTCAAAATAAACTGCAGTGTTGCCTAATTGTTATCGTTGTGAGATAACTCTATGAATAAAAATGGTGGATGAAAATACTTTCTTTTGCTTAATTTACTTTCATTACTCTATCATTTTGAACAGCTCGCACGCCGCAAATTTATATTATCGTTTAACAGTGTTTATCGATGAAAAAATATTGTTTTATTTAATTAGTAGTGCATAGTCTATTCGGCTTTTATCCAGTTTTCAGTTTGTTCAGTGAGTGTTTTTTGAGAAGTATTTGTTCAAAAATAATTAACAATGCTGGAAGTTAGTTCACCGCAATCACGCCTTGTATTAAAATTGTGATTCTTCGAAATGCCACCAATTAGACGTACCAACCTGGGTCGCAAAATACACAATGCTGCAAGTCAAAGAGGTATGCGAAGAAGTTAAACTGATGAGCAAAGAGAAGCGAGAGATGAAGTTGAACGGATCGAAGGACTGAAATTGATTCCACATAATTTTATGCCTACTTTCAAAGTAAGTTGATGGGGGAATGACAGTTCTGCCAACGTATTTTGTTAGCCACATGGCGATACAAACACTTTGCTATACAATTACCTATATTCGATATATTTAGCCTTTTATCATCACTATTCTTTTCAATTCATAGCTAAGACAGGACAACGTCTGTCGGATCAGCTAGTATTACTAATAATTTTCGTTTACCGCGTTAGCGTTTATTTCATCTTCTTACGCACAGTTCGTTGTTGTAGACATTGCGTTGGTGTTATCTGAAAGTGTTACCGGACCGTAAGGAAGTCCAATCAAATAAAATGTGGTAATCGTACAATATATCCCTCGGTGCTATCCGCTCCAGGATATGAAAGCGTTAGGCCAATAGTAGCTAAAAACTACCAGGTATCGGTAGAAGTAGTTTACAGAGAAAATTTGTAGGGGATGAACAAACATTCACAATAAGACCCTCAATTTCCTCTTTCGGTTACATCGCTCGTCAAAAAGTACAGTGATCCTCAAAAAATAGAAGAGACGGAAATTTGTTAAGCAGTTTTGTTTGATTCCTTTATGATGGTGATCATTGCGACGGCTTTAACTTTAAACTATTATCACACCTTTGACTAAAAGTACAAATAAAGTAAATTTCCCTCTTCAATAAATAAATTAACCCTATACAAATTATCTATATATGTTTCTGCAATTCTAGATATTTTTATATTACTATTTACTTAACTTTAAACTATTATCACACCTTTGAGTAAAAGTACAAATAAAGTACATTTCCCTCTCCAATAAATAAATTGACCACTATAAAAGTTATCCATATAAGCAATTCTAGATATTTTAGTTTATAAGGCAAGTGCTGAGTAATATTATCATACTTTATTTCTCCCGTGCTTACTTACTTATTCTTCCCAAAGCCATGCTCATCACGCCAATAACGAAGAATGTTCTGTTGCTCCAGCCAATTTTATCAGCAATGAATGGAATTGAGAATCTAAACACGATGTCCGTAATGCCCAACAAAGACATGAAGGTTGCTATTTCATACTTAGGAAAATTGAACTCTGTCAATATAATAGGCGTAAGAATGGAAAAATTGATCTCGACGAAATTGGCTATGGTCATTCCCAGCATAATGTTCACGTAGACTGAATCTTTGAACAATTCGAAATCAAAGAATATGGATATCTTCCTCCATATGCTCAGCTGTTCCGTTTCATTTTCGACCACTTTTGCATATTCTTTCTCTTTCAGATCTTTCTTGTATTTAGCCAGCTTTTTGGCAGCTTTATTCAAGACAAATATTTCTGAATACATAGGAATAGTTAGTGGTTCTTTTTCTTCATTAATGTTGTCTTCGGGTAGTTCTTTAGTAACTGCAAGTACATTCGTCGACGCTTTTCTTTCTCGTTTGTCCTTTTTTCGTTCTTTTTCGTATTCTGCTAAATTGGTACATGATGGTCTTATTGATGGTGCGACTGAGTTTGAGGTAGATTGTTTCGATCCTTTGTATGATGAAAGGGATAGCCTGGAACCTGAAAAGTACTTTTATTCCAACAAAAATAACACGCAGGTGATAGAGTAAAAAGAAATTAAAAAATCTGTCTCACTAAAATATTTAAAACTGACAACATTGCATGGGGAGGAATAAGCTAGTTTCAGTATCGTTGGAAGACTACGAGCCCATTCCCACTTCAGTTGGCCCAACTATTGAAATCTTGGTTTTTTTCTTATCAAACGCAAATAATAAAAATGTAGCAGAGTGTTTTAGGTTTAAAATATTAACAATTAATATTTTGATAATATATAGTAGAAAACACCAACTTTATCACTCCCTAATCAAATTTGCAGCATAAAAATAACACATGTTGCAATTAAAGCATATCAACCTATTTTCATTTCGATGCAAAATAAGTCTATAACGCATAGGTGGCTGTGAAAAATAGAAGCCATGACAATTGTTTTTATTAATCACAGCTGTCAGAATACGTTTAAAATAGTTTTGGGTAGTTAAGGTTTTCAAAATGGGTAGAGGAAAGGTTATTAGTAAGAAAATTTGGTTACTGAATTAATTTTTTTAATTCTGGGAAATCAAACTCAGAAATTGCAACTTTGTTAGACTTATCGCGGTACAGTGTGAGAAATATTGTTAGAAGATATAACGTAACTGGTTCAGTTAATATTAAGCCACGATATGTGAAAAAAAGTAATATCACAAATGCCGACCGAAGAGCATTAAGAAGAATAATCGTGAAAAACAGGTGTACCAATTATACCACAACTCATAGAGAGGCCCACAAAATGGGATTTAGCGCTTTGCAAGGTAAGTTTTCTTATAAAAAAAAGTGAAGTAAAAACCATAAAGTTGCACAACTTGTTTATAGGCCAAAGAAAAGCTTCTATAATCGGCTTAGATGAGCTAAAGAACATAGACAATGGACACCTCAACAATGGTGTGCAATACAATGGAGTGATGAGGCCCGATTCGAAGTTTGTGTTGGTGACAGTCGCAGTAGAGTTATTCGCAAAAAAATGAAGCATTCCATGTTGATTGTCTGAAGGGAAAAGTGAAATTTCCAGCATTCATTATGGTCTGGGTCAGTATGTCATCAAAATGAGTAGGAGAACTTCATTTTATTGATGGAAATGTGGATACAAAGAAATATTTGGCAATTTTAGAAGAATCGCTTTTACCAGTGATGGAAGAATGTTTGACATCCGGCCAAGATTTTGTGTTTCAGCAAGATGGTGCAGCGTGGCATACCTCAAAAGAGGCTATAAAATGGATGGACAAAAATAATGTACCACTTTTGAAATGGGTTTCTAGCAGTCCAGATCTGTCACCTATTGAAACTTTGTGGCACGAGATGAAAAAGGTTCTACGACAACATCCTGCTCGTACAATCACCGAACTGAGACAAAAGCTTCAAGAAATATGGGATTGTTTTACACCAAATTTTTGCCAAAACTTGGTTAACACTATGGCCCAAAGAATTTCAGCCGTAATAAAAAATAAAGGTGATGTTACCCAATGGTAATCTTTCAATTGTTGCTTTGTTAACTTCGCGCATTTATTCGCACATTGTTTATTTGTTCAGATGTTCTATTAGTTATAGGTCTAGGTGATTTCAAATATGTATTTTTTACGACTAGAGTGTATCTAATATGTTTTTGAGAAAATAAATTGTTTTAGAAGTAAATAGTTTCGTCATGTTTAGTTTATAAAGGCATATTTTGGTACAAATCTTGAAGTGGGCTAACTGAAGTGGGAAGGGGCTCGTAGATAAACAATTTAGATTTGACAAAAAGGCAGTTATTGTTGCAAAAACTAGTGACTTATTACTTTTCGCTAATCACATCGTACTATGGAAACTGAGAAACAGGGAATATCTGTACATATAAACAAAAATGAATAAATAACGTACCCACTTGGGATCTGCTTTGTGAGTACCATCCATCATTGGCTGCAAATAACCTAGGTGAACCAGGTCCTACTATTTCATAGCCAGGTTTTCCCGTGTCATCTTCAGCACATGCAAAGTATTGACTAGAAAAAATTTTGCTACTGATCCTTGACAAATTGCCTTCAGTCGACTGAACTTTAGCGTTTTGTGAATCAAGTAGTTTTGATTTTTCTGGAACTTCCTCCTATAAAAAACAACAGTTAGTTGAATCTTAGCTACAGTAAGGTCCAGCATGTCCTAATAGATGCAAGTGCCAATATTTGAATGAGGTGACTAATACAAAAGGATCCCTATTCTTGAAAACGAGGATTTAGAATCATATAGGGAGTTCTTTTGCCTGTACTGCATTCCTGCTGATAGGTCTACCATCCGTCTCATCTATAAAGACGAAGTTAACTTTGCGATGAAACGCTTAAATGGTGTGAAGAGCCCTAGAATGTCGAAAATAAATTCATTCACAAACGTGTATGTCAACAGGTGTCAGAATTTGGAATCTTTTGTCAGGAAAGAGAACCACACCCACTTTCTCTGAGATTTGATCCCCTCGTTTTCAAGAACAGGGGTAGTGTAGTAGTATCGCTGGTCGCGATTTTGTACTTTGATACCTTTGTACTTATTCATTTGCATCGTATTCGGATCTGTTCCAGATGAGCACTAAGACGCGTTTTGTTCCTCAAGGATCAGTACTGTATTTTGGAAGCATTAAACTGTACATGATTGTTGCGTCCTCAAGCCGTGTCAATCGCTAGTCGGAGAGGAAGTCGCCACTAGTCTTTTTTTCCAGCTCACTGGCAGATATCGGCTTGTCGGTCTGAATTCCTGCATGTAGAGTGCTGTCATCAGAAAAGCTGTGGATTGGGTTTTTTGTACAGGACCTAGAACTTTGTTGATGACGTGCGACAAGAGCACCCGACTGATGCCTGAATGTTACTTCCCTCTCAGGGAGCCCTTTGAATCGACGGCACTCGGAGTTGGTAGCAAGGATTTTGGCAAGAACTTCCGCCTGAGTTCTTTTCAATTTGCTTGGCCAGCGTCTAGAAAGACCGACTGCCATTGCGCTGTTGTGTCTAACTTTGATCTCGTGATGGTCTTTGCCATTGCGGATCGCTTCGTTATATTTGTTTCTGGGGTTTTGGAAGAAGGTACAAGGTCCATTATGGACAATTCGTTATTATGGGATTATAGACTATCATGTTCAACATGATGTTTCTCATTCCTGGGCACCTTTAATAACAAGATTACCTTAAAAGCCGTGTGCCATTCTACAGGTTGTAATAATAGTGCACCAACAAAAGAGTGCAGTGCAATACTAGAGAATATCAAGAGCGTCCCTTCCATTCCATATAATTCGTTCAGAGATACGATGATGTATGGCCAAACTATCGGTCCTAACGCTGTTGTTGTCCATGACAATCCTGTTGCTATACGTCGCTTTGTTTTGAAGTATGTATTCAAAGCTAGTGCGTTTGATGACTGTACTATGCCGAATGATACGCCTGAAACGGAAAATGATATAACTATATTTCCTTATAGATATGCTTGAGTTTGGTTACAATATGCAGAAATGTTTGTCTGCGTGACAATATTTTAAAGTTTTTCGGGAAACAAATTAGTAGAAAAGCGGCCAGACGAACATTGAAAATTAATAGAAATCACGGGCGGATACTAACAAAAAAGAGACTGAATTGGGCCAAACAACATCAAAATTGGACAGAAGTTTTTGGTTCCAAGAGAAGAGTATTTGTCCACCGTCGGCCTAACGAGAGGGCAATAGAATCAAGCACTGTCGCGTCAGTCAAGCACGAGGGAGGTTCTATAATGATTTGGGACTGTTTTGGTGATTCCCCTCTATCAAAATCATGTTGTGCCTTCTGGGGCTCGTCTTATTGGTCCGGGGTTTGTCTTTCAGCATGATAATGACCCCAAACACAAATCTAAGCTCTGTAAACAATTCCTGGAAGCAAAAGAAGAACAAAATATTTTGAAAGTCATGCAATGACCTCCCCAATCCCCTGATTTGAATCCGGTAGAGTTGTAGTGGGATCAACTGAACAGACAAGTACGGAAATGTTGTCCTACATCTCAAGAACATTTGTGGAGAATGTTACAAGACGAATGGGGAAAAATCAACCCATGCACTTTAGAAAAATTAGTTTCCCGTTTACCCATCATTTGGCAGGCTGTAATTAAAAGTAAAAGAAGACGTATTGATGAGTCAAAAATATAATTATTTTGATTATAGATAGTTGTAAAGAATTAAGAAAATAAATGTTTCATACAGATATTGTAATGTTTTTTTAATAACTTCCATCAGTTTCCTTGTTTTCTGGGTATTCAAAAACTTTTAAACGGTATATCCTAGTTTCTATGCCGCTAAACATGTGTGTCATTTGCGAAGCATCTTATCCGCGACTAGTCACTATTACGACTGGACACTATCAGCTTAAGAAATCTCTGGGTAACATGATATGCAGAGGTTGTGGACAGGAAGATGACACGGTCAATCATTTGCTTTACAACTATCCAGCTATCCTATCATTCCGAAAATACATTCTGGGGAACGCTGGCCTCTTATGGCTAGTGTAAAGGGATGCTGGGTGGCATCACCACATTTTTCCAGCATTAAGCGACCCCTGGGAAAGACGTACAATGGTGCCTAAGAGCTGTGATCTTGACTGGTCGCCCTTCTTCATATACAGAACACATACTACTCTAAATCTTAATAAAGGTGACTATGAAACAAATGTAGACAGTGCTTTCCATATTTATTATTGATATAGGTACCCCTTCCACCTCACGAACAGAACGTGAGACTCTACGTAGTATTGGTATATGTCGATTTTATACAGGGTGTAAACGTTATGGTAGTCATTATTGAAATGGGTAATAGGGAGGGTCAAAACAAGTCAAAAAGTTCATATGACCCATGGTCCAAAAGTCAATAGATTTTTCTCTAAATGGCTTTATAGTTTACAACTTTAAGTGTTTTATATCGACCACAATCACCACAATCTTACTAATTTTTATAATCCAATCTAAAACATTTTTAAATTGGGTAATTAACAAATAAGTTAAGCCAAAATTTGTAGTCAGTAAGAAAGTAAGTTTCATTAAATTGAATATTTAAAACACATTTGACAACAGGGCGTCGGTTATCATCACTCTTATTGAACGGGCAATAGATCGCAAGCGGTAACAGTGGTTAGTTATCCTTTTGCATAGTTTTGCGGCGTTGTCAGATTTATTTTACTTTAAAGTCGCATTTCTCTAGAAGAATGCAGTTTTGACCCCCATGTTATATGAAAATTTTTGCTTCTTTTAACGCCCTCTATCATCAAATTAAATAACGACTATCATAACGTTAACACCCTGTATAAAAGGTAGATAGAAGTTATGATCTTCGCCAAATGAAATATTGGCATCACAATTAGCTAAGTAGTTTCTGAATAAATTCAAACCGTTGTAGTGTCATGAAGCGCAAAGTAATAGATAATGTTTGTATACATTTTTATTAATAATAATAACGCCTTTATTCATCTTTTGTACATGTGAGGGACAAAGATAGCGAAGTTTAGCTTGAGCTACTCTTACACTTAACTACCTTTGCCTGTACTTTAAGCACGATGTTGTGTGCAATTCCAAAAAAGAGAAAAAAAACATATAAGAAACACTAAGGAATACAGAAAGGTTAAATAACTAATCAACTAAACTAAAGTACACTACAACTATATACACCATGTACACGTATGCCTAAACGGCTCAGAAAATCAGTTGTATCAATATCAGGGAAGATTGAGCATAAATTGCTTGATTTGCCTTCGAAAACTAGCAAAAGACATTTCCCTGTACTTTCTGGGCAAAGCATTGTAAAATACGGCAGCATTATACGAGAAACAACGCTTGAAGAGTGTCATAGAGTGTGGAGGTATCCTGACCATAATACGGTCCCTTGTAATCCTGTCATGAATTTCTCGATTAAATATGACCTTTTCTCTCAGGTATGCAGGTCTTGACGCAGCTATCAACTTGTGCAAAAACACTAAGTATTTGCACCGCACATGTTTATCAATTCTTAGCCATTTCATTTGACTGTATTTGTCACTAACATGGTCAAATCTCCTCAATCCACGAATAAAGCGAATGCAATTGTTTTGAATTATTTGAAGCCTGCTTTTCATCCGTTCATCAAGACATGGGTAATATAAAATATCACAATAACTGAGAATTGGCAACACAAGAGACTCACAAAGTTTTTTTCTCAGTTTAAAGTTCAGTAGGTGGCGATTGGATTATAACGCTCTCATTCGACCATACGTTTTTTTAGCTCAGGATATAACATGCTCCCTAAATCTCAATTTGCTATGTACTTCAACACCTAAAATTGTAGCTGAATTAGCAATCTGCAGCAGCGAGCCATCAAGGTTAACTTTAAATGTATTCTCCACGTCACTTCTCCTTGCGTCGGAACAAAATAGTAATATTTGAGTCTTATCCGGATTAATATTTAGATTATGGTCACTTGAATATTTTTGCACTTTGCTCAGATCCTGCTCTAATAAGGCAGCAGCATCCTGCAAACAAGAGGCGTCAAAATAATGAATGAGTTGAGTGTCATCAGCAAAGCTTAGTAAATCGGAATGTGCGACAGATTTGTGCAAATCAAAAGTGTATATGAGAAATAACACAGGGCCTAGTATGGAGCCCTGAGGGATCCCTGATGGTATCATACTGACTTTTGATAGCCTGCTACCTACAGAAACGCACTGCATACGGTGTGAGAGGTAGTTTTTAAAGAATTGGATAGCTATATTGTCAAATCCAATGTACTTTAACTTAGAAAGGTAAAAAAGTAAAAGCACATGGTTAATTTTATCGAATGCTTTGGAGTAGTCAATTGAAACTAGGGAAACCGCCATTTTTTTGTCCATAGCTCTTATAACGTTGTCGCACAGATTTAATAATGCAGAGGTTGTGCTGTGATATTTCCTAAATCCAGGTTGATTTAAAGGAATGATGCCATTATCTTCAATAAAAGACTCATTTTGAACTGAACGCAATAAACAATATGTTGACTGTGATAAAAAAAAAGCTGACAAAACTGGTCGAAATCAAATGCATTAATAATAACTACATATAGTTAGACACTAATAGCATTAATAAAATACTTACCATAACATGCGCAAAAGAATATGATATATAGCCAGAACGATGTGCAAAAGATACATATAAATAAAGATATTGCCACTGATATAGATCCTACCATCGACACTTGTCTGAAGGTGAATTTCCTGAATATGGGGCCATTAGCCAATCCTGAAAAATGTACAAATGTTAATTTGGTGTAAAGTATTGCAAAATTTTGAAGATATTTAGGCCATTGTGCGAATATCAATGTCACGAAGCTATTAGGTCAGAAATTCTAACATTTTTCACCTTAAATCTACAATGATTTCTATAACATTTGTTTTGTTTTTAAGTACGTCAGCCTTAGTTTTTATGTGAACATTATGTCCGAACAATACCTAGGTAACAATCTCGATGATTCATACGAGGCTGTTTCAAAAATAAGGTTCCCACATTTTTCTCAGGCATAAGGATTTTTTTATTTAAAAAACAAATTCATCATTGGGAACGTAACTCTTTAAGCTATTCTTTTACATAGTCGCCATTTTTTCTATGCATTTTTTCAGACGTATAATCCAATTTTGCACTCCCGCCTCAAGGAAGTCCGCTGCCAGCCCGTTTAGAAACTTTGTAAGTACTTCTTGCTACTACTCGTCCATCTCTAACCGTTGACCGACTAGGTGCTGCGTCAATTTCGGAAACAGATGGAAATCATGGTTGTAGGGGAATGACTTCCCAGCCAAATTGCTTAAGTCAAATTGCCCGTCTCAGCTTTTTCAGAAGCCTCAGGAATTTTAACCGCTAGTTCCAAGGTTAGAGCAAGATTTGCTCAATCTTCGCCACAACTTTCTCGGAGATATACGGCCTCACTCTTATACACGTTTTTCCATATGCTTTACTCAACTGGCGATGAATTTCTATATGGGTGATAACTACGCTTGTCTGTCAGGCCGGTACTGAGTGTCGCAGATAGGCGCTTGTTGTTAGGATCGGTGGTGGGGGAGCCGACAAACACGACGGTTTTGCCAGACTTTGCCTAGCACCACGCGTGGTAAAGTGACAGCGTTGGCAACCTTTTGAAAAAAGTGTAGAAATGAAACATAATGAGAAAGAAATGGGTTTGCTTAGCAAGAGGTAGGTAAGCTACCTGCCACAATAAGTCAGCTCATTGGATTAATATAAGAACATACCCACCCACAACTGCGTTGAAGGCCGAGGTTAAATTTATTATGGTCGTTGTTTGTGTTTCTGAAATCCCTAGACCTTGCAATTTGTCTTTGAAGACTAACCCAAATTGTTGGAACATTGGGAATGTACTAAGCTGAAACAGAAGAGTTTTATCCTGAAATATCAGAAGTGTACTTTATTTCGTGGATGGAAATCATGATAATGTGGCGTGGCTACTTCAAAATTTATGTTCGAAACATTACAGAGTTACTATCATTTAACATGACAGCTATATTACTCAACCATAACATTTATTTATATAATACGATACTTGCACGACACATCAATCAATAAACTATTCCAAATTAGAAATCAATAGCTGTTTTCTTCTATATCCTGATATTAGGTAACAACTGCTCATTATATCTTTACATATTCTAGAACATTATTTATCTGTCAATTTTAGATCACAAATTGCTAGACTCATGCATGAGTTATTGGAAAATTCGAGATTTCTAACAAAATTACTATGCATCGATTCTGTGTGAACTGGTTAGCTGTACATACTCTAGAATTTGTACATCTTTGGGCCTGCGAATGAAGGGGTCTCAGACCAGAATGAAATCCGTGGCCCCGCTATGGAGAAAATTGAGGAGTGCACCATACCCCCCCCCCCTCCTTTTACAAAATCCAGGGTCCTTATTTTGACCGTTTGGAAAAATTTAGGAGCGGAGATGGTAGTCAAAAATGTTGATCTTTGGCATCGTATATTTCCGCAGATTAGTTAGACTACGGATGCTGGCGACTTCGCCATGGTATCTCATTTTAGCCCCAAGATTGAATAAGCAGTAAGAATATTTATATGTATACTTGAAACATTAAAATCTGTACCACCTACATTACTAAATCCACAGGCGAAAACTACTAACCATCCCCATCCTCCATCTGGGGGTGCAAAATCTGGATCATCAGTACGTAGTCTTCTTCTCACCCTTTCTTGTTTTTCTGTCATAATTTTGTTATCATCTTCCATGGCATCCATGCTTTCTGTAACAAGAAACGTATTATCTCTGAACATCATTGTATTGATCTGTATTTGTTACACAATAGAAATTGTGTAACAAATACATATGATAATGTTCAATATGTTAATTGTTTAGTTATTGAGATAAAATAAAAATATTCAAAGATTTCTTTTAGTCAATGAGCAAACCCCATCAAGAAAACTTGGCCACGTTGCCTTTGGTTCGCTCCATAAATTTCATCAAAATCGCTGCAGTGTTTGATGTGATTACTCGGCTATGAAATAAAAAAAAATTGCTGTTTCAATAACGCCACCGCTTATATCAAATGTGGTAAAATGGATTATTTTTTACGATTTCATGTGCCCACCTACATTCACTAACTAACAGCACTACCAGCTATATCTTTTAAATTGTGCATCTTATCTTAATCATTAAACACTATAGGTAAAAACTCAATGACTCGAACAATGCATCGTTGCAATTAACATACCTTAGCTCAACGACCTGCTCTGGAGATATGTCTTTGAATGCTTCATATTTTATACATTCAGGCTATCACTATGCCAAGTTTGAGAATCAGTGTAGTAACGGTGTACTTAAAATAAAAAGTTCAGAACATGTCCTATATACGTTTTCCGGCATAGTAAAAAACATTATTAGAGGGACCCACATTTGAAAATAAAATCCATACTTGGTTTTTTAACTATTTTTAATCTACAGGGCAAAATAAAAAGTATTTAAATATAACTCAAAAATTTTGACAGCAAGCAAGTCTTACTTTTCAAGCATCTGATAGCGCTATAATAAAGCTCAGAATGTTTTTGTACTGAAGTACTTTTGCGCTCGGTTACTCAAGACGGCTCTGGCGCTGGAGTCTGAGCCTAGAACTAGTCTCTCTGCCTCTCGGCAGGTACTATAATAGGTGCCTTGTATTGTAATGCAGGGAGACTCTGGATAATCTAGCAGCGAGGCATCCGGTATCGTTCGAGTGAGTACCGGGGCACGTGGGGTAAATGATAATGATATGACGAACGCTCTTGCGAAAGCAGGATCAGAGAGCAAGCTTGTTGGTCTTGAGCCAGCCCTAGGGGTGCCCCCGGACAACACTCTCAAAAGTGGAGAAGCATCTCTAGACATTTCCGTAGGGCATGGTAGCTCATCGTAGCGACGTCAGGTTGTTGGTGGGACTTTGTCTGTCCATAACCCGATGATTCGCCACCTGCATATGATGGGTGGTAAAGGAAGAGTCCTCGGCGCATATTCTGTGGCGTTGTGAAACTCTGACCTACTACAGGCAGACTATACAGGGGTCCAAGACTTTGGATCCCCAGAATATTAAGGAGCTGTGTCTCAGGGCTGTACTCAACTTTGCTAGAATGGCGGAGCTTGACGCTTAGGCCATGTAGTGGAGCATAAAGGCCGGTTTCTGCAGGATATGCACCGGCTCATGGTGACCGGTATGCTTCTAATTTCGTTATTTATTCGTTCAAAATACAGTGGACCTCCGATAATCCGACAAACATTATGCAGGGCAGTGTCGGACTATCGAATTTGTCGGATTATAGAGCACTCCCTAAGACCCCCTATAGTCCGGAATTTTTTACAAAAGAGTACCTTGTAATCCGACAAATTACATATTAAATGGTAAGATTATATATGTTATGTATATGTATGTACTTTGAAGTACAAATCAGACATAGTTTATGTATGTCGAATTTAGTAAATTAAATAACTATAGAAAGCTTACGTTTTATTACAAAATTAAGCATAAATGCACATACATATGTACCAAAATAATCAAGTATTATTAATCAAAATCATTAATGAATTTATCAAATTATGAAGCTTGGAAATATTCATTTTTTTAAGGTTATTATAACGCGAGATCAGAGCTTTGTCCCTCAGTCTTCTCAAAAGTAAAAGTTCGTTGTAGGATGTACCATTCTCTTCAGCCCATTGTAAACCTAGCTCAAAGGCGTTATTTGCGTCTTGTGCTGTGACTTGTGGAGCAGTTGCAATCACGTCGTCGTTATTTTCCTGATTGCTTGTTGTATAATTAGAAACTTCTTTTATAATCTCTTCATCAGACATTTCATGAAAAACATTTCCACTTTATCCATTCCTCGGCACCAGATTTCAAAATCTTCCGGACTTATCTGTGTTTCAGTAGCGACTTGTTCTATAACTTCCGAAGTACCTAACACTGATTTATGGAACGTTGCTAGGAGTGGTGACTATATCTGCCCATAACTTTTTCCAAGACGATTTAATAGTTGATGACGGTAACGCATTCTACGACTGACAAAGAGCAAAAACCAAGTCTTTCATATTAAATTCTTTTAAAGATTTTTCTATTGGTTGGTCTTTTGATACGGCTCTCAGAAGTAGGTTTTTCTTATAGTCTTGCTTGACAAACTGAATGATATTCTGGTCCATTGGTTGAATCAGTGCAGTGCAATTTGGCGGAAGAAGCATCGCAGTGATGCATTTATCCTCAGTTGTTAGTTCTTTTTCAATCGGATGACCGGGAGCGTTATCAAGAAGAAACAACGCTTTTTGAGGAAAATTATGACCTTTTAACCGTTTTCTAACTTCAGGTACGAAGCATTCAACAAACCACTTTTTGAAAAGGTCTTTTGTCATCCATGCACTTTTTTGTCAGTAATAGTGTACAGGTAAATCAATGTTTTTGAATGCCTGCGGTTTATTAGATTTCCCAATGACCATCATCTTAAGCGCGTATGTGCCCGCAGCGTTAGCACATGGTAGTGTGGTTACACGCTCTTTACTTCGTTACAAGAAACGAAAGTTTTGTTAGGCATCACACGCCAAAAAAGCCCTGATTCGTCTGCATTGTACACCTGTGACGGGTCAAGATTTAAATCGTTCACCTTTTGCAAAAATCTTAATTTAAAGGGCTCTATGCAGGTGGCATCGTTACAAAGTTTCTCTCCTGTAATAGTTATTAAACGTATCCCATGACGACTTTTAAAACGTTCTAACCATCCTTTGCTGGCCACAAAATCATCTTTTTTTGTTATTTCCTTATAAGAAACTGGCTTTCATGGCCAACATGGGTCCTGGAATTGGTGAATGCCTATTTCTTTCCTGAAGAAACCACATGCACAAAGCTTCTTCTACTTCTGGATGTTCAGCTTTCTTGAGTATCTCTCTTGCCTGGCCCGCAGTCAGTAGTTGACACGAACTTCTTGATCTTCTTGTGGTTTCTTTTAATGTCATAAATTGTAGATCGGCCTACGCCGTATTCACTTGCTAAACTACTGAAAGTTTCATTGCGATTTAAGCGGCCTAAAATATCACATTTTTCTTTAATTGTCAATGTGTTGTGCTTTCGCTTCTGAGTTTGTGATGACATTACTAGGTACTATACTTAATACACAATGGATAAATAGTAAACAATAAACGCACGCTAGGCCGTACCGCTATCACAAGTAGTCAAATTCAAACTAACTAAAACAATTCTTACGGGTCGAGCACGATAGCGGTGGCGCGTACAAGTTGTAACCTGTTCAAACCTGCGTGATCTACATTAGCGAAGATTGTCAAATACGTATGTATGTAATATTCAAAGACATGTCGGATTACAGGTGGCGCCGGATTAGACAGGGGCCGGATTATCGGGGGTCCACTGTAATATTGCGGCAGGTTCAGAAGTACTTAAATGTTTCGGAATTTGTATTCAGTGCGTTTCAAAAAGCTATTCCCTACTTAAATGGAATGAATGAAACTACTCATGTGTACTTTGTAGCCCTAGAATATAAAATCTATCTTTCAGACGGCAGGCTGTCAAATTTTATCTTTTTTATTCATTAAATCGCTTATAACTCAACAATCATGTCAGCATGTTATATCGATCTTCTTTTCTTCGAAGGATCTGTACGATCATATAAATAAATTTGAAACATTCCATTTAAAAAAAAAATTTCACAACTGAAATTTTTTTAAATGGAATGTCTCGTATTTCATTGCACATTCAAATAGACACTTCCAAAATAAGAAGGTTAATATAACATACAATAGCTTTTTGCTGATTAGTCGTTGAGTTGATTCAACCTACAAAAACGCTCAACTTTGACAGAGTTGCAGTCCGACTTTTTGGAAGACAGTAGAGATGTGTTTTAGCCTTATATAGTACTCATAAGAATATTCAAAATGAGATATCATGTACCCCCCTATTCCACACAATAAATATTCCAATATTGTACCAACCGATTTCATTACGACGATTTTAGTCTGCTAACTTGAACATCAAAAAAATAAGTATGAGGGACCTTTTTGAAAAGCACTGTACATGACTAATCCGAAAATAATTCTTTTTAATGCACAGGAAGCAGTGAGCCAATCTGTCTGATTTTATTTTTTGCATGGTACACTGTACAGCATCCTAGACTATTACTATGAAATGTTAATTATGTGGGCAGCTGTTGGCATTGATCGTTATTCCAGGATAACCATAATTATAAGCAGGTATTTCCTGCCAGTTATATACCAATCATGTGACAACTTAATTGGAAACAAATAATACTTGCTTTTGTTTTTCATGACGCACACAGTTATGAACTGTTACGGCAATTTATTATCCGCTATTAATAAAATATTCGCGTAATATTACACATCTACAAAATAATCTGCAGTAAAATGTCAATATTCCACAATTTTCAAGAATAGAAATCCGTGCAATATAAGTAGACACATGGTGCTTCAAGATCCAAGATCAATATTAATCCATGTGTCACTTTAGCTGCCAAGATTAATTAAATTTTCGCCAGAATAAGCGTAGAGGTTTGATTTTTATTAACTAAAAATGCAGCGAATCACAACTTCGTACATAACGAGCCGATATAATGGACCTATTGGACAAATCATCAAATTGATGTGTGATTCGGCAAAGCTGACTAAAAACGAACATCTCCACTTTGTTCCAATAATATGGATTATTCAGGCAGGACATACAGGGTGCGGCATCATAACTTCCTTTTTTCAAAGCTTAATAAAACCCATTGAATAAATCAGAACATGTTTATCTGTTTTTGTTTCACACAGTTTTGAAGATCAAACCAGACAAGTGACGCCCTCCATTCGCCTTTCACTGAGTAAACCGATTTGTGGCATTTGGCATGACTCTTGCGAGCATTCCACGCGGCAGTTTCTTCCTGACGTGGGACATAAATACGAGATTTCTAAAAAACCCATAGAAAAAATTACATGGGTCCAAATCGCGCCTGCCACTCCAATTCCTTCAAAACAGCCATCGATGCTCTTGAAGTGTGTGCCGTAAAGTCGATGGCGTTGAATTGTCTTGTTGGAACCAAATGACCCCTAAGTCCAACTCACTTAGCCGTGGAAAAAATCCTGTAACATATTTAC